AGTTTCGTGTGTTTATAGCCGTTCTGTACAGTCGCTTTACCTCCTCCTCCTCCCCCCCCCACCCCCCCCCACCCTTCTCTTGCATCTGTCACAACCGGAAGTAGACAAACGTCGGTGACTCTCCTATTTCAATGAAATTGGCAAATTTGTAAAAGTTAAAATGTTTATTTTCGACGCGAGTTTTCTTTTATTTTCGGACTCGATAGCAGTTCCTTTCGTCGTGCGTAAATCAAATAATATACCGGAAGTATACCGGAGCTAAGAGGAGTGCTCCTGAGTGGAATTTCGAGTCTTTGAAAGAGGTTCCTTTGCTTGGTACCCAGGAGATCCATCGTGTAAGGTAATTGCTGATATTTTAACGTGGATTGTATTATAGAATATCATAATATAATGTTATAATGGAAGAGATGGACTCCTCTTGCGTGCGAAGACCACTCAGGGGTCATTCTTCAGAGCTTCGGAGTTCTGAGAGTCCAAGAACCCGCAAACCTGTCGAAGGGTGTGATGTTTGCGGTGTTCGGTATTAACGTAGACGTAAAAACGTATTTTCACAATAAAGAAAAAGTGTATCGATCTCGTGTTTAGATTCATTTGACTTCAAACGACGACCATAGGAGTTCGAGTCAACTTTCGCTAATCTTTAACAAACAGAAATACTCCAAAGAACAACTCTCGTCTTGTACGTTGTTTAAAGCTCTTCTCGAAATTTCGTTGGAACTTTCTAGAGGAGCTACGAATTTATACTTACCAATTTTTATATATATATATATATAAAATAAAAAAGAATATATATATATACATATAAACACATACTCACGGGTACATATGTATGTACGATTTACTTACATACGCGAAATATTTTACGTAACCGTATAGAAATTTCATACATTGCTAATAAAAATGTTTAAGATATCTAATAAAGTTATATTGTATATTCAGTATATTCGGTAGACTCTGTTGAATCCCTTTTTGCGTTTGTGTTGTGTACGTGGCACTCTATGTTTAGCCAACTGTTTTAATCCCTCTCGTTTTATGTGTCTGACCTTTCTGTGCGCTTCTTTTACGGCGTTAATTTCGATGTTTTTTTATTTTTTTTTTATTTATGCTACAGCGGGTAAGTATTCGTTGACGATTTTTCACAGCTGAGGATACAAGTGCGAAGCAAGTGTACGAAGATTTTTGGGAATTTATTTTCATAAAAAATATAAAGCCATCGAGGGGAAGGGACACCGAGTTGCACTCCGTCGAATAAACAGGGGTGGTCGCAAGGTTTTTTATGCGTGGGTACAAATAGATTTACTTTAGGGATAAAATCCTATTTAAAAATACCACACCCCGCGCGACTATAAATTCAACCACCCCAATTCCCATCGGACGTGCACAGAAAGTTCCTGAAGTGTAAGTTTGGTTTTTTCCCTCTATTTAAACGGTATACCGAATGGTCTTTAGTAAGACGTCAGCGAAAACATATTCGACGTATAACCTAAAAGGTCCGTGGATATCCAAACTCACCCCAATAGGAAGTAAGCAAGGAAAAACGGAAGAATCATCGTGTTTATTTCACAAATACTTTTATTCGTGCGATATGTATTAAGAATGGACACACTCCGCTTCATGGATTCAATGTGGAATGAACTGTCAATCAGTATTACTACTGATGGTATACTCTTCTTTAAACACAGAGAAGGGAAGTTGTTTCTTTTTTAGGTTGTTACATTGTGGTAACTCTGGGTGCTTCTGAGTTGAACTTTATAACGGTATGGTACATATTTGACACATCGTTAGGTTAAATACTGCCGAGCTGAATATTGCTTTCGGCCGTGTCGAGAACTGTATAGAAGTATTACTTTAACAGTGTGGTACCACGATTTACAACAGTATTTTCAAAATATTACAATTCTAATTCTTGTTATTAGACGGCTATGTTACATTAAAATATATCACAGATACAGTTCGAAGTCCACGCGCGTTGCATTATAAAATTGATTATTTTCCCCGGTTCTTCGCACCCATGCTCCATTTTTAAAGTATCCCTCTTTCGACCACGCCTGCATTTGCCGAGTTGTGTGTGGTCCGTGAATTTCCGCGTTCTCGTCTTGCGACCATTTGAATTCCCAAGTCACTTCATCGTCTTCGTCGTCATCTTTGTCAGAATCTGTTGTTTTTTTAACACCGCCTAAAAGACATAGTTATATATGAATTAGTAATCAACGGTCTCTACGTAATTGAAAAAAAAAAAAAAATTACTTTCGCTTTCGTCCAATTTTGCTTTTTCTTTTTCGTCAAAGTCATCCGCGTACATATCTAACTCTGCCTCCTGTTTCGAGGGGTGGGCATGTTTTTCACCCTTCTCGATCTGTAAAAATGTATATTACAATAAACTTGTTAAAACATTCCCATACCCGTAATTTCGCATTTATCAAAGTAACTTACCTTCTTCTTGATTTGATCGTAACTTTCTTGATATATATCCATATTTCCAGTACGCGTCAACAATTCATTTGCTAATTCTGTTAATTTTGTGATACTAGTAGAAGTTTCATCGTCGTCTACTTCTTTTTTCTCTTTCTTCCTCTTCCATCTTTCTAATGTAGTTAATCTTTTCTTTCCTTTACCTATAGATAATGTTTACAGTGAACTTTATAAATTTCAATATCTTCTAATACCTTTTAAGTATAATTTAGTCCATTCGAATACCTACCCAACCTACATAAAGCTTTGGAAACTGTTTCTCCGGGTCGTAGATATTCCAATATCTGTTTATAGAGCTGAGTTGGATCGAACATAATATCTGGATCATCGTCGTCGCTATCGCTATCCGCCAGTCCTTGTATTTTACTGCTTTCAGTTTTCTTCTTTACACTTGCTGTGGAACTCGGTTTGATCTATCAAGATTATTCCTTAGTAATGTTTTGCATCACTGAGTAAACAAGGCAGGTTTACAGATAATTATATTTTGTCTGCTGTATGAAAAGATATTCTGATATTTCAATATGTAAGAATCCATAAACAAGAAAGAATTACAAAAATTAAAATATATCTAACTTTCACATTATTTGGTGTTAAGGACTCGCTCTCGATTACAATGTATGTAAAATTAAATATCTTTAATGTCAATTACTAATAACTTCCAGTTTGTTTTACAAACCTGCATCCAATCAATGTTGTCTAACCAATTATCTCTAATTTCTTTCTCTTTGTTCCAAAGATAATGGCCCTCCTTATCAAAATGTCCTTCTTCTAATTCTTCTTTCATATTAAATGCAGTAAAACCCACATTTGTTTCTGGAGCAGTTGGTCCATCTTCGACACCTAGACACAAAATGGAAATTTGTATTACTGGTACTGAAAGCTACCTTGTGTACTTACACATACCTTCCAAATCGTCCTCGTTCATTACATTATAATTATCTTCGTTAGTTTCATCGTCTTCTTCGTCTGAATCTAACGAATTCTTTATTGGCAACTTATTAGTTGCACCAGATTCCAACTCGTCAAATTTACGTTTCAACATTGTTTTACTTCACAAGTACAATTAAAACGATAATCGATACTATTTTCTTTATCGTAATACTTTATTATTCATACGTTTTTATCGTGTTTTGATACGTAATCGAAACAGTAAAATGTTCCTTCCAATTGAACAAAAATTCTTGTCGAACGACGCTTCACTTACGTTAACAAAATATTACTCAACATTACACGTAGATAAATTCACTTTGTTTTCACAATATGTAATAAAATAAGAATTCTGTACAATCGTACTTTAAACAAAGTAATGCATTCGTAGTACGAAAATACATACGTTTTCAGCTACTTGAGTTTGGCTAAATTTTATACAAGAGTAAGGAACACTGAACTATAGTAGAACAGCAGTGGCCCCATCGGTGGAATAACACCCAAGTTTAGAGCGAAAATAGTTTTCACTATTGCTGCCAGATGACCGAGTGTCTTGCTAACTTTACAGTTACAACTTCAGTTTTTTATTTTAAGCGAGTGTTTTGCTCGTTATTTTTATTTTATACAGCTTTATAAAATTAATATAGTTAATTGACTAATAAATGTAAATATAAATTTCCCAATGCGAGAAGTGTTCGCCGCCTAGTAGTGAATATGCCGAACTATTTTTCGGAGTATGAGCAGCGCCTCTATCGGGAAAACGCCCAAGTTTGTCGTAAAATAGTTCCAACTTTTAACGTTAGATGGCAGCACTTTAGCAACCATTACCGACATCTATAATATTCGCATTTTTGTAATTAGATTACAAGCAATTTGATAAGAAAATTGAATTCGGGAAACACCTGTTGACCTCTATTCTCTTTGCAACGATGTTTTAAGCAGCTTGCAAAAGTGTCGTACTCTTTAGTAAGAAAATATGTAAAGGACTATCTTCTCATCTACAATTTAACGGTTTCGAGTTCAATTTATTGTAAACTATACTTGGCAACAAGCAAAACTATGTAAATGTTTATAAAAATAAATAGAATATGTTATCATTTGATGTCGGTATAGTGTATAGTGCTGCCACCTAACGTTACAAGTTGAAACTATTCCATGACACACTTGGGCGTTTTACCGATAGAGGCGCTGCTCATACTTCGAAAAATAGTTCGGCATGTTTACCGCTAGATGGCGAGCACTTCTCGCAAGTGGGGATTTATATCTGGATCGAAATTTAAATTTAATTATATAATCAACTGAAATAATTACTTTAAATATGTTTTTATATCACTACGTATTATTCTTGTTTAATTTGGCACTATGCATCGAGCATACGGTTTATTCCTGGCTCTAGACACTTCGGCTAATAAGCGTCTATTGCAAGTCACATGGTATTGTTTACAGAGATTTGCGGCTGCGTACCGTAGATTATTTAGTTTGTATTGGTGCACTATATAGTAAAGATGTCCTTGACATCAGCTGATTCTGTATACATAGATACAATGTACGCGTGACTTTCAGCAAGTATCGATTGTATGGAGTGCAAAAGATTGGTAAGGTTCGTCAATAAAAAATGTACAAACACAAACATACCTTAATACATGAAATAATTAAACAAATAGATTTGAGATTTGACCGTGTTTCGAATAAAGTCATTTATATTATTCATACAGGTCGAAGATGACCTCGTACTATCATACATTTTATAGAAAATAACTGAATAAAATATGTGATACATGTAATTACTATCAACTACTCTAACTTCTTTCATCTCTATTAAGAAAATAGTAAGTATAACTATTGAATATAAAGCAGAGTACATGCTTTGTTGACAGATACATACTTTTAAAAAAATGTAAGATTGTGCGATTTACATCGCTTATTTATTATTTTTAAACAATTATAACATTGTTAACTGTTACAAAATCTCTATATATCGAATGTATTTGTTGACTCCTTGTGTTCTTTTTTTTCTAACATAGTGTGACAATTTGTATAATATGTGCATACAATATAACAAATATAAAACAGAGTTGTTGCCAAATACAGTATCAAATGATAGTGTATTGTAGAATACAATATCAAATGGCATTGCTTTATAATAGGTTATTAATACAAATCTTTCAAGCAGGAAAGTTATTTTGAGCATACCCTGAAGGTTGATTGCCAACCTTAGAAATTCAGAATCTATTCCTTCAATTTAATATCAGAAAACTGTTTTGATTAAATTCATTTAAAAATGGACTCAGATTCTGCAGACATGGTGAACGAAATCAAAAGCAAGATAATATTGCACTGGAATTGCCGGGGTCTTGTGGAATTTCCTGAAGCAATAAGAATCTATGGAAGTCACATTCAAGAAATATATTTGAAATGGAATAAACTTACAGCATTGCCTCCATGGATCATAGAATTATTCAACGTTACTAATTTGTATATATATGGAAACTTAATCAAAGAACTACCTCCAGAACTATGTCAAATGAATCGGTTAACAGTCCTTGATTTAAGTGCTAATAAACTAGAACTAATACCTCCTTCTATAGGAAATTTAATTAACTTAAAGTCTTTATTGTTAAATGAAAATTTCATAGACAAATTGCCAGCTGGTAAGTTTTTAAATATATATATATATTATAAAGTTATATTTAGTCTGATCTGTTTTATATAATTCAATAATAATGTCAATATAATTTTTGTAGAAATGAATAAATTGCATAACTTAGAAATTTTGTCTATTTCTGGAAATAAATTTGTTGCATTACCAGAATGGATTGGTTCATTGCCTAAGTTGAAGGAATTAAATGCAGATAATAATTATTTAAAAGAATTACCCAACAGACTCACCTTATCACCAGAAATATCAATCATTTCTGTGTGTTCTAACAGGTTGTTATATTGATTAAGTAGACACAATTGCTGAATTAAGATATATTAATTTATTACGAATAAAGTTCTGTTAACATTATTAAATGCTTCCATTTTACACAGAATAACTTTTATGTAGGCTAAGGTATCTACCACTAAATGGATTTGTATCGTCTCCTAGCATCAAATTTGATGCAAATGTATATTTAAATTATTTGTCTTATCCAGTTCTTTATCAGTTAACATCTCAAATTCAAGACACACTTACATATGATCAAAGAAGTGTTTTGGGTTATGGGTAAGTGCATTTTTAATGAATGTTTAATACGCATATGTTATAAAAAAAATGGCTAAATTATAACATCACAGATGTTTCAAAATGTATTGCGAGAACACGGTATTACGTAGAAATATAAAGTTAAACGTAAAAACAAATGGAAAAAATACTGATTTTACAATTGAATTGCCACGGCAGCTTTTAAAAGTTCACAACATACATGAAAATACAGTTGTTTCTTTGTGGGAGTTAGCTTTGAGAAAAACTTATACCGAAAGGTAACTACCACAGTTTTATGTATCAAATTTTGTTAACCTAATATCCTGATACTTTGATACAAAGAACCTTTAATACTTAATTTTAGGTATAAGCACACACTTAGTATTATTACATCACCTGTAAATATAAGTGTTCAGTATGAACCGATTGCCATAAATAATTATCAAAACCTTGAAATTACAATGTACCCCATAAACTGTGCTTCGTGTAACTTGTTAACAAATGGACCTGTTAGTATTTGTGTACATTCTCAATGTCAACAGCCAATCTTCACGGAAGCTTGGGTTATTGTTGGTGTTAGCAATCATGCACAGTCTATAATAACAGTTGCATTATGCTGCTGTAAAAGGTAAAATACAGTATTGTCTATATATTCATATATAATACCAAAGGTTTATTTTAATTTTACAGATGCGCATCTGAATTTGCGAAATATTCCAAATTGGCCGTCAATCACGACTGGTATCATATAAATTAATGATACTTACATTGTTTAGTACGTAATTCTGTAAATATAACATATAAAAAATAAAAGAGTTTAATATTTTTAAATTAGATTAAAAATTGTTTATCATTTATAACACTAAACATTTAGTAGGGGCACTCGGTGTACATCGTAAGAAAACATTTACATATCATTTTATCTTACAATGGCTAGTATGTTGAATTGCTATTATACAAAGAAATATTATAAATATTTTAGTCGCTGAACGTTTGCTCCCAAAATAGCATGACTTTTAATTTATTTACAATTTAAGAAAATTTCTATTCACTTTTTGTGCAGTAAAAAAATTGTTTAGACCTTTTTTCAATTGCTTTTTACACAATTCTGCATTTAAGCTATAAGGAAATCTAAAGCTCTATCGCGATCAATATTACATTTTAAGAGTGCAGCGGACGCTTCTTCTTCGGGAAAACCTAAATCTCGTAAAGTACATAGATTTTCATGGTAAGCTTTAGCTTTTTCTTGATTGCACTCTGTAAGAGCAAGGGCTTTCTCAGCATCCTCTCCAGAAATTCCCGCTTCCTCTAAAGACTGCACAGCCAATAAATATTCTACAATCTTTTTATTATCTTGACCGCCTAAATCACGTATAGCACGAGCAGCTTTCGATAAAGGAAATCCCATATCACTCAAGTGATGAGCTAATTTTTTGTCTTCTTCTGTCAAATCTTGTAGTAAATTCATAACTGTATCTTGATTTGATACCATTGGTTCTTCTTGTTTTTTTGTTTCGCAAGAATTGATATCACAACTTTCTAAATTTGACCAAGGTTTCCAGTTCTGTTATGTAGACAAGAGATAAACAATTTGAAACTTACAATTAGATCTAGAAATTTTAATTTTGTTAAAATATTTTATTACCTCCTTTAAAGGTCTTTCTAAGTCTCTTTGAAGCTCTTGTACAATTGTAGATACACTACGATGTTTAACATTTTCTTCATTGGTCTCTTCTTCCTGACCATTTGTTTCATTTTTAGTGTTATCACTTTTTTCTTCTACGTGAACATCCGATTGATCATCAACAGTTAAATCATTCAATATACTTTCTAACTTTGCTAGCGGTACCCATTGAGATGTAGGTTGAAGTACCTGTAAAGTATACAATATATATATTGATAATATAAATAATATAAATATTGATAATATAAATATTAACCTGAGCAAGTTCTTCCATATCATTGATTGTTTTTAATTCCATATTATCAAATGGACTACTTGTATCATTATCAAAATCAGCAAAATCAAGACCATTTGTTTTTACATGATCTTGGAGATCATTGGGTGGAGGAGACAAAGGTTGTGGTGTAAGAATTGTAGTCTCAGGTGCAGGTGCATTTACAGGCAATTGTTTTGTCATATCAGGCAATGGAGGTGGTGGAGGAGGTGAAAATTCTTTTTTCTCTCTCATTTTCTTTTCATCTAATCGTGCATGTCGTGCCTTATTATTTGCTTGTCTAACTGTACGCCATTCTGTCATCTATAAATCAAGATTTTATAGCTTAAAATTGATTTATTTAAACATAGAGCACAGTTTATTTAACAATATAGAAAATAATACTCAACCTTTTCAAGCACCGATCGTTCCAAACTAAAGTCATAACTTAATTTTGACACGTCTGGTAATTTATTGTTATATGCAGCTGGTAGACACACTTTTCTTGGAGGTTTATAAGCCTCTGCAATCTTAACGTGAACTCCATCCATATAGGATGCAACTAAATCACATTGCGCTGATACCGTGGAACGCGCCATATTTTACAATTAAAGAATAGAAATTTAAAAAAAATAATTTTGTCGAAATTCAAATCACGATACACAGAACCTGTACCATAACCTAAGGCTATTGTATATGTTGCTTATTTCCATATTGCTAGATAACTTTTCCCACATAATAATGCATATTTTTAAATATACACACGGAAAACGGCATCTTTTATAATGAAATAATTTATACTAAATATAACGACTTGCATTTGACAGCTTACAATGTTTTGAACTTCTGATAACATTCGGTGCAGCCATATTGAATTTCGCATATACAATCGATACCAAAGATCGAAAGATTATCAATATTTATTATTTATAGGTTTAAAAAATAAATAGGATAAAATAAGAAAGTTCGTTTAAATAAGAAAGCCGATTTTTAATAACAATTTATTTCATCTTTATTAACAATAAGTATAAGTTATTGTCAGGAATAAAATCACAATAAATATCTTTACTAGTAACAAGATATACTTCTTTATATACTTTCATCAGTTCATATCTTTCGTTAAAATCTTATCTATTACAATACGCAGACATATATTGAACACATATTTATGTACATTTAGTTAAATTTTTCGACCTACTTTGTACTATAAACGATAAGTACATATATCGTTTAACTCCATCGTAAAATATAGTCAATTTTATACATTTCTATAATTTATTTGATTAAACTAAAAATTTCCTAAGATTCTTTACCGTATAGGAGGTACCCGTCTACTTTTATCTTCTGTTTGTACAACAGGATTAATATTAAGACTATCTTCAGCACGCTTTGTGTGCTTATCATTTATTTGTTCTTTTCGTTTACCTTCCATTGCTTTCATGTATGCAAGGAAAGATGTCCAAATTAAACTGCAGAAACTCACATAAACTACCCGATTGTGTTCTGGAATTAAAAAGAAGTTGATGGTTTGCAGAACGGGCCAGACACAAACACCGACCTGAAAATAAATAATTATTTTTATCTTTTTATAATAGTTATTCGTAAATATTCTCCATTAAACATATACAAATTCTACCTTATATGTGGGCCAGAATTTTTGTTTAACTTCTTCAACACATTCTGATACTGGTTTCATTTCAAGAAGATTTATACCAAAGAAGAAACAACACATTGCAGCAGGACCATAGGTGACTTGTTCTATTAAAGCCTATAAAACAAATTTACATTAATTGTCTCTACAATATCTTGCACATCAAAATCGTATTTTGTTCAATATGTTATACTTTGGTGATTGCATATTTAAGATCCGACTTTGGCCAAAAATATGAAGAGCATTTTAACCAACAGTATAGTGTTGGAGCAACAAAAAAACCACCATACAAACTGAATCTTAATGCTTGCATGTAATTTAATTGTTCATTTCCGGCGATTTTTTGTTGAAGTAAACTTCCTGTAGGCCATATGATAGTATAAGAAGCCATCCCTCTTACAATTGGGTATTTTTGCGATACCTCGCGAAATTTCCCAAAAATCACACGCATTTTTGTCGCTGCCACTGAAATATGGATAACTTTAATTACACCTAAAACATTTAACAAAAGAATAAACAGATTAATTAAACTTAAAGCTTGTATAAACAATTAAAATTATAATTTTACTTAAATTTGTTTTATACTGGTATATGTACTACATAAACAGGTATTTTATTCTACAATAACTTACAAATTATAAGAAAATATTATAAATGAAGAAAAAAAAAGAGTACGATTTATAGTTCGTATCACGATATTCAAATACAACGAATATTTGAACAAAGTATTCAAATAGTATTCGAATAGTGAAACTCTAGCAAAGTATCTAATAATTTTGTATCGAATATTAGAATCGCTAGTTTAAATATTCGAGTACAGAAAAATTTGACAATTAGTCCCAAGTCTGACAAGTCGTTTAAGAATGGACGGTACAGCCCGCCAAACAAGAGTGCGCTAGAGAGCGCGGTGCAATCGATGTTTCAGAAATAGAGAAGTTTGTACATTCAATGTATTCGTAGTTGAAAAACATTTACCCAAGACTTTGTCAATTGAAATGTCATCGATTTCGATGTTGAGTTATCGATAAAAAAAACCCTCGTAAACTACCGAGAACGTAAATTTAACTGAAATTCATGATGTAATAACGTTATATAGCACGAAAAAATTGTATTTCATATCGTACCCTGTATTTTATTCATGCATCGTACCTCTTCTGATTAGTGGAAGAAATGTCGACTGCGTTACCGCGGTTTCTTCGAACGTGACGCGAGGAAACTCGCTGCACCGCGGTTTTGTATGAGGTACAACCAATCTCGTAAGGTTGACACATCTGGAAATGATTCGCTACTACGGAAACACACGCATACTGGCAATGGCTGAGGGGAGACTTATATGCGACACGCGCAAAACTACCAATGATGACGAAACTGGTCGATCCATTCTTATCTGTCCTTGGTAATTTTACGTCTTTCGAGTGTAGTTTTTCATTAGTATAATATAGAATATCAGTGACTACGTATTGTTGCTTATGTTATCGATAATAACATATAACAGTTCGATTAATTAGAAGTTTTACGATGCTCGTGTCTGACAAGCCTGTAACACCTTTTAAGTTAATGACACATAACGAGAATAAAATAATATTGAAATGTGCGTGACGTCAGTGAAATTAAATAAAGTATAGACGAGTGTTTGGTCAGTGCAGTCTAAATAGAACATGATAAGGTTTGAAATCAAAACATTGGTCAATTAAAACTTTCAGTTGTAATTATACAACACATACAATAATAATCGCGTCGTAACGCGATTTTCTTCTAAAGTTAATTGTAGTTTCTTGGTCTTTTTGCTTGTACCATATTTCCATTTAATCATATTTTTTCTTAAATAATTACAATATTCACAAACTTAATTAAATGTCATTGAATGTAGTAACGAACATGTAACATATAATATCGAAAGTATATTGTAAAAAGAATAAAAGTACACACGTACTTGTATTGTCTGTCGTAAATCCTACCGATGTTATACATACTAAATGATCAAGTTCATACAATTATACATAATGTACACTTATGTTGTCTTGATTGATTTGATTCTGAACCTATCTACGTAAAGAGAATACGTAGTTTACTTTAGCCCAAGATATACAGATGTTTATAAAAAACATTGCTAATTATAACGCATTAATCATAAAAATATTACTTTCTTTATTATCTTCCTTATATGCAATTGCCTTTTATTTCGCAAGCATATTATGTTAAAGTTTATAAGCAAACATATAGAAATAAATCACATATCGTAGATTACAAAGAATCTGTCCAAAGTTACTATTGTATTATCAAATAAAAATTCAACAAAAATCGATTGTAAACATTTTGTTCTATAAATCTGTATTAATTTTCTATTTCTAATAATAAAAAAATACTGTCTGTATCCAATGATCGTTATCCACATCCATTCTTTAAAATTATATACACAGAACAGCCTTCAGAAACTGTTAACAAATTTTTCTGTGATTTTCGATATTATTGGCACAGTCTGATTTGTAAACCATCCAATCATCTAAACTATATGACTTATTACTCATTTTGCTGCAATGTCGAACAAGTCGCAAATCCCCTCATTTTCACTAAGGTTAAAGTGATAATCTTTCTCATTAGGCGGTGGACTTAATCTTACTAATGGTCCATAAACTGTAAACAAAATTTATAAAATTATAAACATATTTAGTATTATTTGCTTGTTTAAATATTGTTATAAACGTTTTTACTTACAGTCAGAATAAAATTGATCAAATAGTTCTAAGTCTTTTTTGGCTATGTCTGAAATAATATGTGACATAATAAAGCATTGTTTACTATTTACTACACCATAAGAACTTACGTTACCTACCTGACGTGCTGACATCACGAAGTACTATTTTTGCTTCTATTAACTCTGCATCATCTTCTTCGTCGTCATCGGATAAAACAGGATTAGGTTTACTTGCTCCTTTTGGTGGTCTAAATAATGATTAAAATAGGGAACTAATTATATTGAATAGTGAATACAAGAATTTTACAAATTAGTCTAATCCTACAGTATGGATGTTTAAGTTGTTATTGTATTGTACGATCTACACCAAAAGAATAGATTATTCTTAAATATCTATTCATCCCCTTGCAAGATCAATTACTGTATGCTCTTTGCAGGTAAAAAATATTGTCTTACTATTTTTTATGCGAATAGAGCAAGTTTCTTTACTTTCATACACTCTTCTTTACCTTCCAACTCTTCTCTTTGGTTTAACATTAGTTTCCTCCTTCTTTTCATCTTCTTCTTTGCTTCTTTTTGTACCTTTTGTCTCTTCTTGTAATCTCATTTCTAATATTTTATTATCGTATGTTTTAGCTAATTCTGGTTGAATCATATATATATTAATTTCTCCCGTGGCACTTTTAAGAAACATTTCATAATTTATTTCTTTTTCATCTTCCTCAGCGGACTAACAATGAAAACATATATACACATTAGGATATATAAAGCTGTGTAAATATAAAATTTCTTAAGTAAACACACTACCTGCATTAGATTTGGTACGCTTAACTCTGTATCAGCAGGAGCTTGAATTCCTAATACAAAATCAGCTGGAAAGTTTTCTTTTACATCTTCGTACGTGATGTATGCAAATTTCCTATTAATCAAGTCATTTTCTATATTCTTTATACTTTGTTGAATCCATTGGGTATGCTTATCCAATAACTGTTCATGATCTTCTAGTTTTTTAATTTCATCTTTTAAATCAGTCAACTTCTCACCAACTTCTTGAGTATTGCAACCTGGACCTGCTCCCCTAGTGATACATTTAAAATATTGGATTGTATAAGAAATGTAGATCTGAATTTTAAAATTTACATAAAAACCATTCAAAGTATTAAAAAAATGATAAACACAAAAAAGAACATACTTCCACTGGATACTATTTTTACTTTTCTTTTCTATGAGCCCAATACCTTCAAGGACGTTGGTAATATCATAAATTCGTCTTTTTTGTCGTACTTCTAAAATATCAGCAGCCTAGAACGTTATAAATTTATTATCTGATGTTATCAAATATAGTAAGAACTGAACGTTCCATTATTTTATAGGTTATGTAGGATAGCACGTTGAGATATCAAAACTTGCATCGCATCGGTCGTGCAATTTTAAATTAGGATAATTTATAAAGTAGAAGCAATCTTTACAATAAAAATATTGGCGAAGAAACTAAAATACTGATTCCATCGTTAGTTGTTTCAAAATTCCCGCAAGCCAGAAATGGCGTGTACGCCCGCGACAACTTAACCTAGCAGGTAGGTTAACTTTTTACATTCGAGTCTTTACGAAAACACTTACTACTTTTAGATCAAGGACACCATCGTCTGCTTTTTGCAATAAAGTAACAAATCGAGTCGTTAATAAACCAAGAGACTTCTCAAATCTACTTTGTTGATTATCTGCCATTCTCGAGGTCGTTGTCAAAATTTTCAAAACTCACTATTCCCTTCGAAATTGCCGCAACACCACAGACGCCATCCTAGCTAATGCGCAGGAAGTATTTAAATAAGAGCGCGTCTCTAGTGTCGACGTAGTGTTGAAGTATAACGTACATATTAAAAATGGTTATTATCGGTACTGTTTTTTCTTCAGGAAATAAATAGAATAATACTAAAGTTAAAGTTTGTCCCAAATAATATACTTCTCGTATTTGTAGATTATCTCAAATCAAATCACTATTGAGTAAAATTGTTCATCTGTTTATCAGTACAGATTTTCATATAAATATTAGTAAAAAGATAATATTCACTATACTGTGTATTGCAAATAAAGTGATACAAATTTAGGAATGGGGACATTTATTAAATGAAATAAGTGGGAATGTTATAAGAAAAATATATTTTTACAATTATTAAATTTCGATGATAACTAATTACGTAAATTTCCGACAATCACATGTAACACTATAATAATCACATGATATGTACAGTGAATCAAGGAATTCCATTTTAGTCACTTTATTTATAAAAATGAAAGAAAAACATTTTATATCAATATATTTAAAAATATATGTAATATTTACAGTTGTTAGGTCTTAAATTATATAAAAATTATACATTATATATAGACAATCTTAGCTAGAAAAGATCATAATAGAATGTTTTAATACAGTGCTATGGAAAAATGAATTCATTAGTAACAGTTGTTGCATCTGGACTGAGACTAGAACTTGCTGAACTTAGAGTTTCTTCTTTGATTTTCATATTGGAAGGATCTTTAGTTTTTTCTTTCTCTTTTTCTTTGCCCTTATCCTTGTCTTTGTCTTTCTTCTCCTTATCTTTGCCATGCTTATGATCATGTTTATGTTTATGCTTGTGTTTGTGTTTCTTTTTGTCTTTCTTCTTTTTCTTATTCTGGGAAACGTAATTATATAGACATAGATATATATGTACGTAAACTACACAAAGATATTTCGACACGAATTACCTTATTTACGGAATCATTTTTCTGTTTGTGTTCTTCTGATTCCTTTTTAAACATTCCTGGTTCGAAACCTACTGGCCCTGGAGTTCCCATAATGCCAGGCAACGATGCAGAATTATCGCTGTAGTATTCCGACTTAACTTTTCCTTCGCCAGTTACGGAAGTTGGTCGTTCATCCTTTTTAATGTAAAAGAATAAAAGATTAGTAATTATAAATCGAAGTTTACACGTATTTTTGTACAATAATGTATCTCACAGTAATTGCCTGCTTTTGTCGTTTTGGTTCAGGACCATGATCCACTGAATTTGAAGGGCCTGGAATATCTCTATTAGGAGATGGTTTTCTTTTAACTGGGATGTTTGAGTTATCCACTTCCACTATTGGTGGTTCGTGTTTTACGAGTGGGATATTCGGTTTCATCTGAAATATATGTAATTCATAATGCTATATCTAAAATAACATTTCTAATAAAAATTCTTCATAATTACAACGTACATCTGGTTCAGGGCTTTGCGGCCCTACTTTTTTTGGTTTCATAATAGCAGCAAGTTCAGGAATCGGAAGGCAGAGCGGACGTTTCGAACCATACAAAGTGTAGTATAAATCTACTAAATCACATCGTATTTTAGGGTCATGAGAAAGCATACCACTGGAACAATAAATATACTGAATATTTCTTCAAAAGAAAATAAACTACATAACATTTAAAGTAAAACCTACTTAATTAAGTTCCATATACGGTCGACCAATTCAGGTCGATCTAAACGATGCTTATGCGCTCTTTCAAATGGTGGGTTTTCAACCATAAGTCTCACCAATCTATGTCGCACCCCAGGATGTGGATCCATCTCAATCATGTCTAACAAAAATTCTAAATCTTCCCATTTACCATCCACCCTTGTAAAGTCAACTAACGCTTCTAAAGCTGCAATTCTAACATCTAAACAAATACAATGAAAGTGCGTAAATGTAATTAGCATTTAACTATTATATGTATAATAAGTAGAATCTTACATACCTATAAATTGTCCATATGCAGCATATGCTCTGAAAAGATGGGGATTACTCGGAAGATGACCAAATTTTTGCAAAATTCGTATGACTTTCAGGCAAGTGACACTGACCGTGTACTTGTAACAGGGCAATAATTTTTCCAAATTTAAATTTCTAGTGACCTCCTCTAATATAGCTTTAGTATCAACTGACAACGATTCAGCAGTAATAGCTGTCCTAAAAGAAAACATGTTAGCAGATAAAACCAAGAATATAATAGATTTTCTTTTCAATGCTTGTCATACCCCTGTTGTATACTAATCACTGGTGTAACGGTAGCTCCGAGAGCTTCGATCAATGCTGCTCTATAATAATTATCCGAATATCTATTTTTACTATTATCATTGTATTTAAATAAATCCATTAAAAAGGCTAATACTTCTGGTGGACATATACCGTGAGCGTTACGTAGTCCAGCCATTGCTACAGGTATAGTCTGAAATTACAAAAAATAAAACGTAAAGAAGTATAACAACTATATTAATTGTACCAGAAAATAAGCTCTTTGGTTTACAAAATTTCACTTCAACCTTTTGCAGAAAGTAATGCTGAAAATTTTGAAAGTTATTTTGTTTGATTATGCGTCTACACGAAGCTGATCCAAATAATTTTCGAAATATGGCCAACATTGCTGGTGGGCCTGCCCATGTTGCAACCATTGCATTAGCTACCTGTAAAACCATACATACGGTATTAACTATAATGTAAATAACCATGAAAAACAAATGCTCTAGAGATAAATGACCTTAGTTAAACAATGCGCGGCCCGTAGTCGAACTTTGTAGTAACAATGTTCATTTTCAATAGTATCAGTCAACGCTAATCGTGTAGCGGGTGTTGCATGATTCTGCAAAGCTTCTATCGCTTCCAGCTGTGCGGTAACGTCTCTTTCGTGTCTTAATTGATATTGCCACTGATAATCGGGTTGTTCAATTTGAACAGCGCGCATAAGTGTCATGTCAGGATCTAATCTTATCCATAACACAGGTGAATCACTGCGAATAAAAACAAGGTTCGAAGATTTAGTAGATATAAGAAATAGTAGTTTTAATAATGTCTTAATATAATACTTACTCCATAGCAGAGAGATCCATATCTACTTCTTCTCCGGTACACAGTGGAATTTTTTTCTTTTTATTTCGACGACTTTTACTATGACACGTTATATCCGCTCTTGCGACAGTACCCTCAATTTGTAAAGTGTGTTTGAAAGTACCATCTAATTCTTGAATATTCACTAAAAGTGGACCTACGTATTTCCTAATCCCTCTTTGGTTTGTTGTATCTTGACGAATTTCCAACTCTACAGTGTTCCTACGTAGCACATTTTATATTAATTATAGTTATTTACTACAAGAAAATCATACCTTATTGTATCATACCTTTTCCTATTAAATACGAAACTTAAACTAAATTTTGCATGACCTCCAGTCCTGACCCATTGGTCTATAAAAACTGCCATATCTTTACCTGTTACGGTAAAAATTGCTTTTGTAAATACATTTGTACTAATTAACATGTGAGACCAAAGTCCAGAATCAATTTTCTGTTGTGCAGCATTAGCAGCAAGGGATAATTGTTTATTGAAAACCTACAAACGGTAAAATAAATTTTATATCATTTTAAGAAGATTGAGATAATTTTGTTAAGAAAGTAATTATAATAGTACCTGTAGAAGCAATTCTTGCCCGATGCGATGTTCTAACATTCTAATTACTAAATGTGCTTTCTTACGAAGAACATCAATATATTTTGGAGACATTGTATGTAAATTTCTTATTGGAAAATAAAAACCAGGATCTGGCGCTCTTGGCGTAGGTGCTGGCGTGTTGGCTGCAATTGGTAACGGAGCTGGTGGCTGAGAAGAATCTAATATTATCCCACCAAACTGCTCTTCGTATTTTACAACTTCTTGTAATTCCTAAAAACATCGATAATGTCAGACTTTGAGAAGCTTATACTGATAAACGAAAGTTAAAAAAATTATTTACCGATTGAACCCATTCTCGGTATTCATTATTTCCAAAACATTTTTTTGCATACAAGCCAGTTAGGTATGTCGATATACCTTTTGGCAACCATGTATCAGACCAATTTTGCATAGATATAAAACAGCCAAAAAATTGTTCCGCAACAGCTTGTGCCATAGCTTTTTTGGTGATATAAACTTGATCAATGATTGCAGTAGAGTGTAACAAATTCGTACTACAAGCGGTAAAATATGTAATTTATATTAAATATATAAATGTTTAATGTTGGTATTATTTACTAATATTGCTTACTTTAAGATACTCATAGTAGCATATGCATTAATATCCTCATCTAATTCATCTACAAAGACTTGTTTATAACAAGAATATGGATATCTATTTGATAATGTTTCTTCATAAAATTCAAATGCCTCATGCATGTATTTTGCAGACACTTTCAATGATGGTAAGAGTTGAGGCAAACAAAAATGTGTTACTTCGTGCATATATGGATCCACGAATATTTCAAATGGTCTGAAAAATAAGATTTTACAAGTTACTAGGTCCTATATAAATATCAAAATGTTTAATTAACTTACCCAACTGCAAGTGCAATATTTGGTGCACATGCAGGCGTGTTAAGAACATAATGAAATGTTTTTCTTCTCATATCTGGAGTATACACAACTTCTACAAGATCACCACAAGATATTGCTGTCATAGAATCATCAACAGTGAATTCCAACCTCCAAGTACATGGTTCGGCAAAACTATCGACGCACGGGAACCATAATCTCGAAGAATTCTCGTAACTGTATGTATACATATGCGCGCCTCTCTGTAAGAAGAAGTTTAACTCTATGCAATTGAATATTAATGCAAAGAAAAGCAGTTTTCATATAAATAAAAGAAATTTGTTGTACCTCTGCTAAAGTTCCCTCACAATTTGGTACTACAAAATGTACTCCACCTTGTGGTTGCTCTAAAGAAAATTCAATACTAATTCTTAAACTTCTACCCTCTGAAACTAAGTGTGATGCATCTGGTGGAATTTGCACAACCAATTCCCCTGCATTATTATCTGGATCAACCCTTTGTGCTGCTGCCAAATGCATATTTGAAAAAAATTCCAATGATCGTCTACAAAAGTATAAGTATATTATGTTGCATAAATCATACTTTTACTGCATACAAATATTGTTCTTATTTGCCATATAAGTACTTACTGTTTACCATCTCCTTGACAAATATCCAAAAATGGATCAAAATATTGAAAGGGTGCTTCATAGGTATCATTTAAGCATACTCTGTAAATTCTACATTGCTTTGCATTAAGTTTTATAAGTCTTAATGTATCCCGAAGTGGAACAATCGTTAGCTCCACAAATCCCTACATGGAGAAAACATAATAAATCATATAGAAATTTCGTTTAATAATTATTACAAGATTACAGATTTTATATACTTATATACACTTACAATAATGCTTTTCCTTTGAAAACTGATACCTGTCAGACTCACTATTTGATGAGCCGTAAAAAAAGAAATCATTAACCAATGATTAATATTGTACATGAATAAGATGAAATATACAATAAATGTTTTTATTATTCCCTTGAAATTATATTTAGTGTTACAAAATAAAACTCCAAATGAAAACTTTTGTAAACATAACCTCAATATAAAAACATAGAAATGGATGTAAATGATACATTTACAATCCATGTTACAATTTCTAGCATTTTTTATAATACAAAACAAATATAGCAACATGAAATTTTATTTATTCAAATAACAATCGTAATTAATGATTTTTGTTCGCAATATGAGACTCAAAAATACTTATAATTTATATGGTCGGCTATTATCGGCCGTTCTTTCTTTCTTCATGTTTCCATTTATTTTATTCCACTGATTCACTTGATCAATTTATGATTATTTTTGTATTTTATCCAAGTTAATTTTGCACGTAAATATTTTTGACATTTTCAAGCCAGAGTTTTCGTACAAGTAGCATGGAGTATGGAAACAAACATTGAGACGCGGCAGCTGATTTTCCCATTCAATCATTGGTTATGTTGTTGGGTACATTGTTATATATCTATATAGTAGCAGTTCTGCACACTAGTGCTAGGAAGAGAGCGTCGATTATTCTTGAAGTTGAAATTTAGTATAAACGGTGAGGGTGAAATAAATAAAATAAAAAATCGAATGATTATACAAGAATCTGTTTATAATTATTCTCGACGAAGATGTCTTATATTCAAGTCCATTGCATTGTGTATTCTGATCTCTACAGATAAACAAAGATTTTATATCGATGCATACCGTTTGCTGTAGCTTACAGTACTGTAAGTAAATAAATGACAAATTCTAAACTTCAAGGGGTTGATGAATATTAAATTTCAAGAAGATTATCTGCTTGATCGCATTGAAAATTTGTATTATACATGGACGTGTTGAGTATATCGTACTTTTGAAATTAATGAGTACGTTTTATGTACATTACGAATATCACAAATGAATATCTTCGAATAACTTTAAACGAAACGTGTAAATAGTTTAATCTTTACAAATGGACGGATCGCAGTCTCACACAGCGTAAGTTTCTCGAAAATTTGACACTTTTAATAAACTTATATGGTTTTATTAATTTTTGTATACATCTTCATGTATATGTTGATAATATTTTTAAGCCACTTTTCCTTTAAATAAATAAAGTAGAAGAGAAATTTGTTATTGAGTCCCGTTTTTGATCATAGTTATTATTTTTCCAGAATTATTTTATTCAAATTGCATGTGAATATTTTACAATCATGTGGTTCTTAAAAAGTTCAGTTTATTATTAATATAAACCATTTTCTTCAGAGAAGTGACACAGGATGTAGCTGACAGTAGCTTACCAGCAGTAGTGGCTAGTTTAGAGATGCTTACAGTAAATAGTAATTTATCAACATCAGAAAATAAAAGATGGATCAGAAGGAAAATATCTGTACCTGATTCAAATGAAAGTCTTAATAGAAGGTATAATGATGTTTGTAATAGTAAATCATAAATTAGGTAAACATAACATTAGTTTATTACACGATTTATTTGTATGTATCATCAGATGCAGTTTAAGGCCAAGGAAAAGAACAAGTATAGAGATGGAAAACGATGACAAAAAAAGAAAAACACAAGGGCCAAAAGAAGAAGTTAAGGAATATTATTTAAATAAAAATTTAAAGAGGAAATTGAATAACTTGGAAACGATTTATGAAGAAAAGGATGACTTAAATGAGAGTTCAATGCATATGAGTATAAAGAGATATAAACGTGTTATACAGTTTCAAGAAACACCATCGGATCGTAAGATAAAAAAAAGAAGAGCGAAAATTAAAAAAGTTTTCGGATCAAAAGTTAACTTCAAAGGAAAATGCGCATCTATGCAAATGATGCTTGACAAATTAAATGGTATTAGAGTAGAACCTCCAGCGATAATTGATGGTGAAACAAAATGAGATTGTGCAAACAATAAAAATGTACAACATAGAATGTTCTATAGTTAAAACAAAAGCTTCTTAAAGGAAGCATCTTTTATCTAATAAAATTTAATGATTCATTTATAATACTGTTTTTTCAATGTTTTGCAAGATTTTTGAAAGTTGTATAAAGTAATTAAGGGAATTTGTGTTCTCATTACAATACATTACCTGAAACATTAAGAAAAGAAATTAACACATAATACAAGTTGTGTTATATATCCACTGATGTGTACTTATACAGTGAGATAAATAATTTTTATATTACAATAATAATTAGTCTTTAGTTACATGTAATGTTATCATGTCTTGAACATGATTTACAAACTTCAAGTCACTTTGTACACTCATGCACACGTTTACTTAATTATTATTTTAGCGCATTTATATCGTATTGTATTTAAAGAATGTATTGTATAGTACTTGCCTGTTGTAGGCTCGTTTTCAAATTTGAGATTTATGTTTATTAGCATAAAACCATTCCAATTACATCCCAAGTAATAATAAAGAAAATTTCAATAAACTTACAGAATAACACGAATTAAAAAAGACTGATGAAATAACAAAATATAAATATTCATTTAATATCTTACATTTTCTAATAACTAAAATAATAGACAACTATATGTATTCTTTTCTATAAATATATTTTGTATCACAAAGTATGTACAGTTGTATTTGCTGTATCAAAATATATAAACAAATTATTCATTTTCAACGTGAAACAGTATCGTTTCATAAATGCTTTAGATAGAGAACAATAGCGTGCTTCTATCCACTATAAATTATTTATTTTCACAGCACATTTTATTGCTGTCTTTGGACATCCATCGTACTCTCTGATCATACCTTTGGTCTCCTCGTATTCTTTACTATCAAGCTTAACACATGCACACCTGTATTGTTGGGAATTTGGAGATTCAAATAACATTCTTGGTACACCAATCCATTCTCTTTCTATACCTCCACTAAGAAAAGAAAACATTAATAATTTTAATGAAGCAAAGTATTTTGCATAACATGTGTACCTTCTTTTAGAACACCATATTACAGTTCCAGATTCTGCTTTCCATTCTACATTACATGGTGGAAACATCCTTTTTCTATGCTCCTCTTCAAATTGGTTTTTCTTAGCATGTATCAATGTTCTTTGTATTTTGTGGAATTCTTCAGTTGGAGTACCATCTTCATTATAATATCTACCACTTAATTTTCCTATGCAAATAAAAAGATGGATAGTAGTTCATAGTTATTCATAAATTCCTATTGTAATTTTTTACTTTTACCTTTGTAAATATAATTTTCATTATAAAATTCTACCCAGTCATACAATGCTTTAACTTGTTGTACAGATAATGAAGAGACATCATCTGTTAAGCCTTTATCATTAAATTCTCCTGTAATAAAGGCCAACGATGCATCACGTCCTATAAACATCTATATTTTATATATCCTTCAAACATTAATCCAAATGAAATGTTATTACAAACCATACCAGTAAAGACATGATAAGTTGCACCAGGCCCATAGTGTTTTACACCTTTAGTAACATCAAAAACTTGACCTAAAATTGAAATATACAAACCATCTTTTACGTTTGTATATTTCTTGAGTTGATTTGATGTAAATATTTTTGGTTCTGTATTAGGTTTTGAAACTGAATTCGAATTTCTATTCAGAGTAGAATAAATACTATCAATAAAGTTCAATCCTTTTTGCATAAAATCAAAGTTTATTTCGTTGAGGTAATCGTGCGAGTATAGTAAACATATAGATGCGAACATTGGCAATAACCAAACATACTTAGTCAACATAATTTCTTCGATATTTTCTAACATTCGTTAAGAAAGAGTTGCTTGTTACAAAGATGTTTTGTTTAACGTAAGTAAAAAACTAAATAATAAAGAAATCAGAAACAATACAGTTAATATAATTGTTTAAACATTCGTAATATATTTAATACAACGAACGAATATATCAGTATATTCTGCTTTAACATATCTGTATACTATCTCTCATACTTTTTGCATAAGTTTCTTCACGAAAGAAATCCAAGAAGAGGAACGATCATTTAAACGAATGTAAGAAAATGTTTGAAAAGATTTCATATTACTGGTCTGACATATCAGAAGCAGTGCCTTTTGGTGCCTTTAAATGAAACGGCGGGCTATATAAATATTGCTTAATAGTCTAAACATTTTTCGTTATAACAGTTCTTTAATATTATATACAAATACGACTTTTTACGAAGGTAGATATGTACAAATGTATGCATATATACGTCCTTTAGATACATATATAAATTTATGTTTGTGATTATATTCAAAATGATTGTCTACTTGATAAGGAGAGATTGCAAGGGGAATTGCCAATTTTAACGTTTTCTTTAGCGAATTTTCAACGAGAATGAATTTAATTATACTAATACATATAAATTTTGAAGATAGTTAACGTTAAAAAATATTGCAGAGTAAGTAGTGTACTGGTTTTCAAATCCAAGGTCATGCGTTTGAATACCTTATTTAGATATACTCTTTTAAACAGTTTTTAACAGTAGTTTATTATAATACAGACTATTTTTTAGATATATTTATTCAATTTCATATTTTATTGCATATTCTATTGTAAAAATCGTTTAGTGAGGTGACGTCGTTATGAATAAATAATAAAGAGTAAAAACGTTGACTATCACTGCAAAAATGACAAATAGTAATAATTATTAAAGAAGTAGCGTTTAATTTTTCGAGTTAAAAAATTCGAAAGTATGAACTTCGGGCGCCTTTGGAACTTATTACGCTACCTCCTTTGCCAACTTGGCATGCTATACTTTCTTTCTTGTTTTAAGTAGTCAATGCGCACCTTCATCAAATCATTAACGACAAATATCTTTGTAAATACGCATTGGCAGAAACGGTCAGACACGTACACCCTAATTTTCGTTCTAGATTCAGCAAAAAAATACGTTTGTTGAAATTGGCGACTCTACTCATCTAACTTCTTGTCCGTGTACCAAGTCTACCAAGATAGTACGTTTAATCAGGATGTCGATAGTCGTATGAAAGTCTTTTGTTTGATACGATAGACAAATTGTTCTGCGAGGACTTTGTACTAGGGAAGATTTCATAAGAAAAAGAGATTAGGAACAGGTACGTGTAATTAGTATAAGGATAGGATGGTGCGTAGAGATGGAAGCGGAACAATGCACGCAGGGCGGAAGTGAGAAACCACTCGTTGCAAATGGCAGACGTATGATATCGTCTACTTATTTTTCTGGTGTAATCGTGGCAGTGGACTATAATTATAACGTGATTGCAAATCGTAACCCTTTAGAAGATTTAACGTTGTTGCATATATAATCGTCGTTAATTGAGAAATCGAACAGCGATGGCGAAGCTGGTGAACGTTTGGCGGGACGATGACCCGGTCAATTTGACGCGAAGACAAATGCCGTTGATTGTCGATGAGAATCTCACGGTGAGCACGATTCTTTACCGTTATTTTTTTCAGACACAGCCTCGTTCTATCGATAACTAACAGCTTAATAGAACTTACGTAATGGCATCCTATGATATTTCTGACTTAACCTAAACAGAGCAACGAATGCATGCCTGTGGCATAACTAATTAGGTGTACTGTATTTAGTATCTGTATCCTGTTTAACAATAGCTGATTGCTGACACTCGACACGATTTTTGTTTCTAGAAATTGTTAGTAACTTGTTTTCCCGTTCGTCTTATTATTACAATTTTAAATTCACTTGTTATCTTCTGAAAATAAAGAATGTCAAAATAAATTGTTTTTTGTACAATTTGATTAGATATAATCTACCAAATGGAACGAAAGCTCGAACCATAATGTTAATTACTGCTGTGCAATGAATTTTCTTTTTGGTATATAATAATGTATACCATATGTACAAATATACGATTTTATTGAAAGTTTTTTGATAATATTTGTGTACTTAGATATTGTGTACAAAATAAAAGTTTTCTATCGTGTTTGGAATAAAGAATTCAGAGTCACAAAGTTGAAAAAAAAGTAATTTAGATTTAGTCTTTGATTGTAAAGGTACAGATAAATTTAATTTCTGCTTTTTCTGTAGATGATTATGGATATAAACGGTTTGGGAGCAATCTGTGATAATCCATTAGCTCGCGGTAAAAGGCTCGATGAATTTACTATAATACTTGATATGCTTACAAAAGATGAAATAAAAGCATCATTTAAAATTACTTGCAAGGACATGCTTGCAATTTTAGGTCAAGCTGTACCATGTGTTGGTTGTAGGAGAAGGTAAAAAATCTTGTAACATGTGCATACATTAATCAATGTTTATCATTTGTCTTATTTAATATCTTATGTATTTAGTGTGGAAAGATTGTTCTATGACCTCATGAAATCAGGACACCCAGCATTAGATCCTTTAGTAATTACACCTGAAGGTTTATTGTCTATAAAAGATGATGTTTTGGAGTCACCACAACTACTTTGTACAATGATACAAGGTCATAGGTAATAAACTATCTATAGAAATATATTAGCTATGTGCACACATAATATACAAAAACTTTATTGTTTACCATAGTGCTAGGTTGAACAGTTTGGTTGAAAGGCAGCCAAGAAATAAAAAGTCCAGAAGATGTGTATTGCACTCGTTAGAAATTCAGCGTATGAGGCCACTTCCAACTGCTTGGAGAGAAGTATGGGATTGTATGGAACTTCCATGTCGTCAAGAACTTGCTTTAATAGAAACTGATACACTTGACGCTACTTTGGATACATATTTACGCAAACATCGGTAGGTTCGCCGATTTTCATAATTGTACTTAACTTTTTAATGAACCATTTTTTACCATACACATTGTTACAGTTTCTGTGGCGAATGTCGTACAAAAGTGCTGTTGGCCTCTTCTCTATTAACAACAGAACCTGAACCAACAAAAGAAAAGGGCTATGTTGCAGCTTTATATTCTGGGATCAAACGTTGCATACGTGATAGACATGTACATTTACCTACTAGCACAGTTTATATTAGTACTCTAATTGAGCGTGCTCAACCCGAACTTATGGGAAGGTATAGATTTATAAAATTCTGTTATTTATAGTTAGTTATACTGTAGAATTTACTTCCATAATAATTTTCTTGTATTGTAGGGAAAGACACGCTAAAACATTAGAAATTGCTCAGGAAGAGGTACTTACATGTTTAGGAATATGTGTTGCTGAGCGTTTACATAGGGTTCATCGACGATTAAGAGAAGAAGAATCTGTATGCAAAGTATTAGCTGCTGTTGCAGTAGATGCACTGGCCAGGAATTTTCAAGTATAATCAATAAAACCATGAATTAAACTACCGCTGAATTAACGCATGTATTTTCATATGGTTAAATAATTCTTTACAGATGGCTATTGAAGTTAAACAAGGTATTTCTCAACTAGAACTTTTATATGAGGAGTTAACAAGGGAAGAAATAGCAAAGCAACAACGACGTGAAAAGTTACGTTTGAAACGGAAGAAGAAGAAAGAACGCCGATATGAGACGGAAGAAAAAGAAAATACATGTGATGTATGTCGTTTATAAATTCAAATTTCTAAAACTAATAAACGTAATTAATTTTTTATTTAATATTATATCTTCAGTGCTCTAGCAAAAGACAAAACGGTAATAGCGAAACGCCGTGTGTTTGTGCAGATTCAAAGCCCACAACTCAAAATATAGACCGACATAAGGTAAATAGAGTAATATTGTTTTTAATTGTGCGCGAGTGTATACATATTTATCAAAGTGTAAGAAATATATCTTTGTTTCTTTAAGCTACAAGTATTAGATCCAAAAAATAAGGGACCACCTACATGTAAATGCCCGGACTGTATAAAGAAATCAAAATCTAGTGTACCACAAAGTCAAACTCAGTTAGCATTCCCTAAGAAATCGTCAAATTCGCAAAAAAGTGCAGTTAAAAAAGGTTCTTCTGAATCGAAAGGGAAAGTTACTACAAATCAATCAAAGAAGAATGACACTTCTGCTAAGAATCTTTCCGAAGAAGAACTATTTGAATCGTGTGAATCGTGTAAGGTAATAATTCAGTATATCAGTACTTGTTCTATATATCCTTTGACGTGTTTTATATGACTTACATATCGTTCTATATATAGGATTTTTCCGAGAAAATTGAAGACGATCATTGGCACAGCCTGGAAGACTGTAAAGATCCAATGGCTACGGAAATAGTAGATGCTTGGATAGGAAAACCAAGCAAAAGATATAACATGTGGATAGAAATGGAAACACATTTTGAATTATCGATGTCAGAAAGGAAGAGTCGCTCTTCGAGTGAACGGTCGTCGCAAGATTGCGGGTATTCCTCGGAACATAATATTAGCAGTTCTTCTCTTCCTAGTACACCAGAAGGATCTGAAGTAGCTTGCAGTGATGGATGTTGTAATCACGAAAGAGATTGTCACGATACACGGCCATCCGATAAACTTGTTCATTCCAATTCTAGCATCTCTTTACTGAAGGAAAGGGGTGGTGGTCTAACACTTACACAGATGTTAGAAGTAAGAATTTAGTGTGCGTGCTTATTCCAAATTTTGGTATCATTATTAATTCATTTAATTTCTTTTTAGGATTCCTATTTGTCAGATGACGAAGAAAAAGAAAGTTATATTCCGGCAGAGGAAGTGTTGGAGTTCAAATCTCGAATGTGCCAAGTTCTTGAGAAACGACAAGAGCTTCGTCAGACACTTAGAAAACGTTTTGCTATTTTATGCAGCCATCACAAACCCTTTATCATTCCTAACTAAAAATTCCTACTAGGTACAGTTACTTAATAGGGTACAATCTTTCTTTTTTACATTGATTTACTGCCAGTAGAAAAACATGAACGCAATAGATGTATTTTGGATAATTGTTATCATTGGAGGCCAGCCTTCCTGTGTGAATAAAATATCGTTGGAGAAGTACATCGTAAAAACATCGTATGATATGATTTATCTGCAAGCAGAAAACTGCGTCTAATAAACTAGAGGTACCAAGAAATAATTATGCCTTGAATTTTGTTGTTTTCTATGCGGCTCAATTCATACAAATAAAAGACACAACTTTGTAGATGAAATTGTAATTATAAATGGATGAAATTTAGAATATAAAGTCAAATGTTAACTCTGAAAACTGGACTTAAAAAAATATAGACTGTTAAATTCATATACTCTAACTGTATTATATCGGTATTCAGAGTTAAGTGTGACTTACTTCTGTATGCTTGTATAATTAACCATACGTAGTATGAGCACGTATTAGCCAGAAAATTGCAAATCAAAGTCGACTGCACGAATTAAACAATTGTATAAATGATCAATTTCATTAATTACTACATACTTTTAAGAATTTTATTTTGTTGAAAGTAGCAGTTTCAAGTTGCTTTTCTGCAAAATGAATATAAATGTAATAATATTAATATGATCGGAAATCATTAAAAAAAAATGAATAAAAAATAAACGCATTTCATAATATATTATATTATTCCAAATTACATTCTTTCTGTACAGCTTCATATAACGATCTTTGATAGAAAAGTTTTTGTTTCTTTTTTTTTACGTGGTATATCACATAAGTTTCATATTGCATACAAATATTAAAAGTATCTAAGGCATTATAATTGTAGCTCAAGTCTCGAATATGATACGCTATAAAACCGCATTTTAGGTTAAATGAGCAAAATTATGCATATACATTTTCTGCAAATGCAATGTATGTATTAATTAATGTATACGAAGGAATGACTAGTTCGTATTATGCTTTTTCTCAAACTTTTTTTAGTTTGATAGTTGGGTTATTCATTGTACTGCGCTAAACATAAGCATGCATTTGTTCCCCCAAAACCAAAAGCATTTTTTAAAGCTACACGTCTCGATGTCGAATTCCAGAGTTTCTTTTCCTTAGGCACAAAATTTAAGGATGTTTCTATATCTATATTATGCAAATTTAATGTTGGTGGCATTATACCCTCTTTTAATGCGAGCATTGTAAAAGCAGCTTCTAAATTTCCTGCTGCTCCCAATAAGTGACCATGAGCTCCTTTTGTACTAGAAATAGTCACGTTTTTACTGTGTTGTCCCATGAATGATTCTATAGCTTTTACTTCGATAGCATCACCTATGGGAGTTGAAGTTGCATGTGCATTGACAAAAGTAATTTCCATGGTTTCTATACTAGCATCTTTTACTGCTCTGTCCATAGCTAATATAGCACCAGTACCATCTTCGCTGGGTGCGGTTAAATGTGCTGCATCACCAGACAAACCATATCCTAACACTTCTGCATAAATATTTGCTTCTCTAGCAAGTGCATGATTTAATTCTTCTAGCACTAGTATAGCAGCACCTTCTCCCATTACAAATCCATCTCTATCTTTATCGAATGGACGAGATGCTTCAGATGGAATATCATTTCTAGCAGTGCTTAATGCCCGAAGTCTGCAGAAAGCAGCTATAGCAAGGGGACTGATGCATGCTTCTGCACCACCACATACCATAACAGATGTTTCTCCCCCACGGATAAAACGAAATGCATCACCTAAAAATTGTTGATTAAATTAATGGTTATTCTTCAGTAGTATCAAGTTGCAAACAACGTAAATTTTACTGCATAGTTAATTTATTATACCAATTGCATGGGCTCCAGTTGCACATGCCGTTGATACACAGTGGTTTGGTCCACGAAAGCCATACTTAATACTAATTTGTCCTGCAGTCATATTTGGCAGAATCCTTGGCACAAAATAAGGACTGACTTTGTTATATCCTTTTTTCATGGCCTCATATGTTGTACATACATCGACCAAGTCTATCATTCCAACTCCCACAGCTACTCCTGTATCTTGTTTATCTTTTTCATCATCTGGTTTCCATTTAGCATCGTTTAATGCATCTTCAGTAGCTATCAAGGCATAAGCTGTGGCAAGACACATTGTACGTAATTCACTCTTTGTAAAATGTGAATTAATATCTAATTCATTAGGACCACTTCCCTTAGGTATCAATGCACCTATGAAAGATTAGTTTATAAAATTTGTAAAAAAAAAAGTAAGAGAAAAGGTAAATGAAATCTAATAAGTCTAATTAAAATATACTCCTCATAAATTGAAAAGTAAAACTTACCAATTCTACAAGGTAGTTTTTCATAATCTGGCTCAGTCAATTTGGTAACACCTGTCTTACTGTCAATGAGAGCTTTCCAGGCAGTTTGTTTATTAATTCCAAGAGGACATACTATTCCCATTCCTGTCACTACAACTCGCCGTTTTTTTCTTGCAGCGGTTGTTAGTGTACGACTAATACAAGCAAGTGGAGCAGACATTTGACCGGTAAGGTTGGAAGGTTATAGAAGATATATGTTTTAAGGTTAGGAACTATTCACTTTCACTGTTTGTGGACAAAATTTCGCATTTTATATTGTATAGTAATGTCTTTCAACTTCATTTTTATCACATTAATTAACAATAAATGTATATTCTCAACTTTGCTTCAAAAATCAGCAACGAAAACACTTTGTTCACACAGTGCAACAATACAACAATACAGTTGAATACAGTGCTAAGTCTTATAATCCCTAGAGTGAATTTATTTCTCATTTTATAGAATTGATTTTTCGTAATCAGAAGCGGGATGAGAACTTACTTGACATTATTCGTAATTAATTTATAGTTATCAGAAATGATAAATCGTTTATGTATTTATACATAACGATCATGTTTAGTAGTTTTGTTTTGAAAGATTGTTAGTTGAAACAATTTTTCGTGGATTTCATATTGGCGCCATAAAGATACATTAGTATATTATTTGTTTTTATTATATTTAATTATTTAATGTTACAAAATGTTAGTTTGTCCTTTTTTCAAGTAGAAGAATTTCGTACAAATCAAATTTGTTTTAGAATGTTTAAATTGCACTATTCAACAGTTATAAATTATTTGATTAATCGAATAATCCATAGTTGAATAGCACGTATTTTTTAAAAAATTTCTGACGTTTGTAACAATAAAATGTTTAAATACTGAAATTGTAGTAACTTGTATGTAGCGATATAAAATGTTGATTTGAAGTCTTTTAGGTTTATATAGGACTAAGATAATAATGTTTATCTTAATCAATCGATGATATATCTGTCGATTTCAAGTCTCATTTATTGACTGAGTGCACGATTAGAAGTTACATTCGTATGCATTCGTGTTCGTTGATTTTATAAAAATTTTGATATGATTGTACTTCAATATGGCGAACCGCGACAAAGGACGCAAAAAGTGGGGAGGATTTTTACAAGGTACCTTGGATAAAACGATATTAACAAATATTATAAATATCTTAAATTACAATTCTACGGTTATACTTTGTGTGTGCATAATTAATAAACATGTATGCTTCCCTGCAATATTGTTGAGTGCATTCGCAGAACTAACCTCACCAAACAAGCTAACCTAAAAATACAGTAGGGATTATTATGCTCTGATACGTTGTGAAATTTTATTAGAGTAAGAATTAGAATTAGCGTAGTTTGTAATTTTACTTAGACTCGTCTAGCAGATGTGAAATTGTTTAAAACAGATATAGATTACATAACAATTATATCTAATTTTTGTGAGTTGATTGTAACTGTAGTTACTGTCAAGAGTGTCAACAACCACTATTGAATTATTATTATTAATAAAACATCATATTTACTGATATTTGATAATTATATACAAATATAATTTCGTCATTTTGTGTCTAAGATCCAATAAATAATTGATGTAAAATGTATTAAACGTACAAACATTCTTCATATTAAATGGAGTTATCTTTTGATGAAATTTGGAGCAAAAACTACGTAATTATATATGTATATAATTTATAGAGTTTTGTAGGTTTTTAAAAGTTTTTTCCAATAAAATGGTATAGTTCCTATATGACTTTACAATAACAATTTTTAATTACATATTTTTCTTATATAATTAAATTTAATGTATTTGTTCTGTTATTGAAAAACAATTTTAAAAAGTAGATATAAATGAATTTCAGATAATACAAAATTGGAAAAGGATAGATCAATGGGAATGCGTGGTGGAGGTAATAGAGCATCTCAAGCTTTATATAGGCCAGGAAGTGGACCTCTTCGCAAGTCTGGTAGATCTTCAGATGATTTAGATAATGAGAATCTCTCGCAGGAGAAACCTAAGTCTAGCTCCGTCCAACATCGTTTGAAGCAATCACAACTCAATAGATCCAATCAAATGCTAAACAGTTCACCATCTTCTCAAGTTGAAAATGTAACAGAAAAATTGAATGATCTAAATATTAACTACAGAACTACTACAAATATTGATCAGACACCGAGTTCTTCTCAAAATAGTAATTCAGGAGATTTAAGAAAGAAAACTAAGAAGCCAGAACAACAATTATATATACCTAAAAAAGTAAAAGAAGCATTGGCTGAACAGGATACATCAAATAGGTGAGTCTTTAAAAAATGTTTTTGTTTTATTATCAGGGAGAGATTATGTATCAATTAAAAATATTATTATCTTTACTTCTCAGGTCTCCTAATCAAGGTTGTTGGGATCGAGATCAAGACAGAGAACTCAGCGAAGATCGAGATTCTCATTCCAATCGTAGCTATAAAAGTGATAGTCATCGTAATCGATCGAGTGGTCATAATAGACGAGATAATGAAAGCGGAAGTAAAGGCAGGGACGATCATGGGAAAAGATATTCGGGAAATCGTCGAAATCGTCATGGTAATGAGAACGAGGAGCGCTGGCGATCAGACTCTCCTTTGTCTAGCAGAGGTTACGGAAATCGAAAAGATAATTCTCGTGAAGTTAGACAGGTTCGACATAATTACGATGTGGTAGTTAGATAATAGAATTATAATTCCATTTTAATGTATAATATCTTCGTTTCTTTAGGGTTCAGAACCTCTTTTTGTAACAATGAATCATGTGAATGATTTTAACCGCACTAGAGATACGCGTAGTGTTGAACCCGCTGGACATCTGGAAAAGTTTCAAGGCAAACCTCCTTCAGGCAAATGGGGTGGTACGAAAGATACTTTGCCAAAAAATATAAAAATAGAACATTTACCACCCAGGTTACAAAAAAAATATCTTATGGATAATGGTTTACCATTGCCACCAACAAATTCATTGCCTTCAGAAGATACATGGAATGGTAGTAGTGTTACATTTCAGGTAAATATAATTACATTTTACCACCTTTAGAAATTCAGTAAAATTTTAATAACATTTATTAAATATACATTTATTCATTACAGGGATCCTCAAATTACAATTATCCACCTGCAATGCAACATTCTCAAACAATGCAAAATTTACCTCCATCTGGCCCTCTACCTCCTCAACCTAGCTGGTCCAATACAGTGCCAGCACGAAGTAGAGGTAGAGGTAGACTTAGACCGGAAGATTTGGAGAGTTCAACAAATATTTTCAGATGTGTTACGCCTGATCAATATTCGGCTCCAAGTTCCAGGTCTCATACACCAAGTCAAGAATACATGCCAAGGTCTTACGATCGTCGTGGCAGTAATAGCACTATGTATACTAGTATGGAAAGCTTAAGTCGAGCTGATACTTCTTTGATGCCACCACCACCGGCGGTGTCACCTACTACTTCGGCATCCAGTGCAAGTAAACGTCAAACTTCACCTGACAGTCATCGTAGAGGAGTATCTCCGTCTTCGATTTCTCACCGCAAAAACACGCAACGGATGAGTAATAATGCGCCCGAACGTAATATAGCACAGGAAAAGAAAAGTAGTCAACAAAATTTAGGCGTCAGTCCATCGAAAACTGAGACTCTTAGTACCGAATTAAATACATTACCGGATCACCCATTTGATTGGAATGAAGAAGTTGAATTAAATGAAAAACTCGAAGCCGAGCGGGCGAGTCGCAGTTCTTCTGTATTAAGTTTGCGTGAGAATGTCAATATGTCAGGCAATGAAACCTCGACAGCAGGTCACACTCGACGTAAAAAAAAAAAGCGTGACAGGAAACATGCGGCAGATCGGAGCAATAGCAGAGATAAAGTTCGAGTTAATAGTCGCGATCGGCAAAACAATCAACAAAATAGAGAAAACGATAACTATAACAATAATCAAAAGAACAGTAATAGCAGTAGAAGATATGATCACAGAAGGCGTAATATTATACAACGTAGTCGTGAATCTAGTAAAGATAGGAATTACCGTGGTAGCAGTCGAAACTTTGATGATCTTCATAGACATAGATTGTCCGATCGGTATTTAGATGAAAATTGGAGAACAGGGAGAAAAATGTCAGCTTGCGATTCTGACGATGGACGACAAACACCTAATGTTTCCTCTCATGCCGCTACGCTATCAAATACAACTTTGAATGCGGCAACACATCAAACATCTCCTAGCGGATACAGTAACTCCCAACCACCAGGTGTTCTAGTGTTGCCTGATACTAGCCAATCACCACCTAGTCATCCTATTCCAAGACAACAAGGACTGCAACAGCAAAGGACATTATTCGATCCCAATAATCCCAATAAACCTATCGTTGTTACTTCACCCAATAGCAGAGCTGCAATTCAAAGAGAAAATGAAGTCGTATCTCAAAGCCCAAATGTGCCTGTGTTCCAGTCACATGGAGGTATTGCTTCAGCACACCATACTTTTCAGGGAACGCACTTAGAAGGTGTGCCGCCACCATATATGACAAATGACCAATTCGGTAATACAAGACCCTCGTGGTATGATCCTTGCTCCGATAGTTTCCGATCAGCCAAAAACCATTATTTACTTTTGGACATAGAACGCGCTGATAAAGAGTTGCAATGGATATTAAGTTCTGGTGGTTTGACAACAAATTGGGAAAGGGTTTTGTACATACGGCACTTTCTACAAGAAAGTTTGAAAACTTTGCTTGAGACTGATATCAAATTTTGCCAAACTGAGAATGTTGAACAACACTTTTGGAAAATACTTTTTTATAATATGATTGAAATGCTGCGAAAAGGCATGCCTAAAGAAAGTTCCGAGGGGCGAGAACATTATAAAAAAATAATGATGAAGATTATCGACGATGGTACCGTATACTTAGAAAATTTGTTAACTGTCCTTGAAGCCAAATATGAATTTAAATTGGATACGTTCGTTGCATCGTCAACTTTACCTAAAGGTCTTGGGATCTTGGGTTTAGCTTTAGTGAGCGCGCAAAAAATATATTTATTTTTGGGTGACCTGGCGAGATACAGAGAACAAGCAAATGAAACCAACAATTACGGAAAGTCTAGGCAGTAAGTGTCGATGACAAACAACGTTACCATCCTATTGAAACGTGCATTTTTTTTTACACGGAATTTAACATATTTTTCAGGTGGTATTTAAAAGCACAACAACTTAACCCAAAGAATGGCAGGCCGTATAATCAGCTTGCGTTATTAGCGCATTATGCTGTACGTACTATTAGAGTATAGTTAATAATTCAACGAAGAGAGAAAGAAAATGAATAAATTTCAAAGTTGAATTTCGTTTTCAGAGACGAAAATTGGATGCGGTATATTATTACATGCGATCACTTATGGCATCTAATCCTTTCCATTCCGCAAGAGAGAGTTTAATAGCGCTGTTCGACGAAAACAGAAAAAAGGTACGTCAAATGTTCAGATAGTTTATTTAAACGTGTATTAATACTAACGTTAATAATATTTTAATTTTGTTTTGCCGCCAGTATCTACATTATGTAAGTAAATTTCGATACTTGGTGTGATTTCTTTAGATATCAGTTATAATTAAAGCTTAAATTAGTTCTCTGTGCTATCTAATATACTTTTTTTGTTTCGCGTGCATTTAGTTTTTCGTATCAATGTTCTTACGCATCATAAGTCTCGTCGCACGCTTACGATTATTAGTTAAACATATAAAATTTATATTTCTCGCACAGTTACAATCACGAATAGGCAATTCATTCTAGGCTTAAGTAAAATCGATAGCGTAACTAACGATTTGAAATAGTAAATTTTAATACTTCATTTGTACATTGTTAATAGACTATAAAAAGATATATAGTTCGAGTATAGTTCATTACATATTGCTATAGTATTTGCTATAAATCAAAGCACTGTGTCTAGTAGTTACCAGCACCATGTCACACATGACATTAGCATGCAATTTTTTTTTTAAATTTTCACTGAAACAAAGGTACATTCATTTTACAAGCTTTTTATAGCGTCGAAATACAATGTTTGTACCTGCCTGTAGTATTTGAGAGATTTTAGGGACAGCTTGGAAAGTACTGATATACAGATTACAGTGTTTGACAAATTCAAAATTTTTCTTTCGTATCCAATATCCAATGGGTGATCGTTGTAGAATTTCTGGTCCTCTCGCCAATCCGGAAGTAGAATTACATTATCACTATTATTAGAATTACGGTATTTACTGAACAATATCCAATTTTGTAAATATTTTTAAAGAAGAAATCACCCATAAAAAGTATCAAAACGGCTTTTAATTCAATGAGATTGATAAAATATCAGTTTGTAATATTCGCACGGAATTTTCCCGCCATTTGTTCGTAATAGACAAGTTTCAAGCAGACAGACGAGCCAATGGCTGCTTAGCGCCAAAAGATCGTGCAAACGCTCCAGACTAAAGAATATTTTCTGGTTTTGTTCGAAATAAAAACCGTGTCGAAAAGTTTTCTGGGTGATTTTCTCTTTATAAACGTCTACAGAATTTGATATTGTATTGTGAATTTGTGCTAGGAAAAAGATTCTTCGTAGAATTGCGAAAATAATGCGTGAGTACACTCTGCGATTTTCTTTAAAACTTGAACGACCATATACGATTATTCGAAATACAAAATTTTAGTGAAATTATACATCGATATAATCACGAATGATAGATATTTTAGAACAGAATTTTTATTGATTAAAATGAGCTCTCATTTACGCCATACACTATGCTGTCCTCATTAGAAATATACAAGTAATCATGCAGAGATTTAGTATACATTTAATTCTGACAGTACGAATCCACGGAACGGAAAAGAAAAGAAGAGAGAGAATGGAAGGAAAGAGCCAGGATGAAAGAAAAAGAAGGTGCAAACAGCATCGGGGGAGGACTAAGGAGGGAAATTTGGTTTCATCCTGGTGGAAGACGAGTTCGTCGTACAACTACTGCAGCCACTGCCAACGAAACGAGATTGTCTCATAGTGACTTAGAAGATTTGGCACAATTGAGTAGTGTCGAGGTAAGTAGTTCAATTTCTAACGTAGAGAAGTCTAACATGTAAGTTAATATTTTATTCTGACTAACCAGAATAAGATATAATTTATGTATTTTGTTTCAGGTGAACAAACGTTTCGTCACATCTTACCTTCACGTCCATGGGAAGCTAAATACCAAGATAGGGTGAGTCAATTCATTCTATACTTAAACGTTTTACTTAAAAATTGATCAAACATTCGTAGCTACACATACGGGCTATTTCTAAAAGTTTTAAACTATAAGAAAATCCCCCAAAAAATGGAGTTTTCCAAAACGCTAGATTAGAATGCGTCCTTAAATGTAGCGTTTAAGTCAGTCGTGAAACAATTACGTCTCGCGCGTGACATCCAGGCGATAAAGGCTCTGAATAGAGGCTTTTGAAACGCAACGACGAACAGAAACGAAATATTCTGCTTTGTCGGTGTTCAAACGCACAGTCAATAGGCTAATACACCCTGCGGAAACGATGTGTAACTCTCAATGCGTTTTGCAAGTCGTGTTTTCGTCTAACAATGTTTCTGCACATCCGTGCGCCGACCAATGAATCCATGGTAACTGTTATGTTTTCCTGCGTAAATATCCCTGGAGAGCTAACCGCGTACTGTTAGTTTAACGTGTTTCCGTGAAACATCGCTAATTTTTATACCCACTGTATTGTGCGTTTCAAAGCCTGGGGAACGCCTCAGTTTGTTCTCTTCCGGTGGCTACAAATCTTTTAATTTGATTAATACCAGTAGTCAGTAGAAATTAAAAAGTAAAAATTCCTCTTTATTCTGTATCTATTATTCGGATGAAATGTCGCGAATCTCTGTCTTTATTATTGTGTATATATCGCCAGTACACTTATTTCGTTGAACTTGAATAATTTACTGCTCTTAAGTTTGTTCAAGCAAGCGTGCACACCGTATGTTCACGGTTGGTCATAATACTACCATGTACTGTCGTTTATTATGCAAGCAAAGTTCTAATGGCTCCCAGTGGAGCTATAATGGGGGGTTCCTATCTCAAAGGGCTTGCCGTGTGTAACTTTGGTTGCTGTACAGAAGGTCTTAGTCCATTATTAATTGCGCCATAGAGGTTTCGATACTGTCGTTGCGTTACTGTTAGCTCGCCAGTGTCGCGGCAGATACTAGCTATTGATCTCACTTTAATCAACGTCCAATTAATCAAGCAATCCTGCTTTGGTATTTGGTATGCTCAAGTATCGAACTCGTACTTGAATGATCTTCAAAGAACGCTATCCAATTACACGTCGTCAGGTGTCTCGCGTTCAATGTCAAATAGCAAGAAGTACAGTTCGTATCTCGGTTCATAATTTTACTTATCATCAGGGCCACATCGCGCGTGGAAGTGTTCGCCGATTTTCTAAAATTAGTTCTGCAATTAATCACCCCTCGTAGAAGGATCGCTGGTTGCATCTTCATCAATTTTCTTTCGCGTCCAACCCTTCAGGATGCTCGTGGTCTTCTTGTAAGACGAAGGGTCACTCATAGACAAGGCTATTCCGGAAATATTCCTCGGTAATTAGCGGCGAGCAATTAGCAATCGTAGAATCACTGGAAGTTAAATTTAGACGCATGCTGCGCCGGGTCGCGTCTATCTTTTTCTTTTCTTTTTCAAAATCTGATCGGTTCGAGCACGGTACACGTTTGCACGGTGCAGTCGATTACTGTGTCGTTGCATAATGATGGATTATTCTTCTTCCTCGGTGACTGCTCGTGACCTTGGCCTTTCGAAATTACTTTCACTGCTTCCTGGCGCACTTGACTCGAGCTTCAGCGCTGGTCTTGCTCGGGAACGTCTCGCGAAATGGAAGACAAGTCGATTTTAGTATTGTAATCTCTCTCCCTCTCCCCATCTCTTTGTTCCATCTCTTTGATCGTGGATTCGTATTCCCTTGCCCCATTTTTCATTTAGATTCCTACAGATACATTATCTATGAATTAGGGGTCACCTAATTTAGAAGAACAATGTGAAAAATAGTAAGTGAAATTGGGATACCGAGGTGGGGATCTAACGATAGTCGAACATCCAACTCGAATAGTAGCGTTAGTCGATCGGTATAAGCTGCAATAAAAGCAATGCCCTGTTGATATCTCGTCTGACAAGTGTCTGTAATCAAATTCTCGCGCTGGATCTCGTCTCTCTTCCTCTCTGGTAAACATCGTTAATTATTTACGCGCTCGCAAATCGAAGTTGTCAGGCTCTATCGCGATATCGTCCTCAAATCTCTTCGAAACCGTCATCCTGTCTCGTCGTTTCCTTCTCACGGCGAAGACACTCGTCCCGCCGTTCGTCTCCCGCGATCGATCTCGGTTGTGCAAGATCGACACGCCAGCCGACATTGTCACGGGGAAAAGGAGCGAAAAGGCTGTCGCTGAAGCTGCATATATATACATATAGTTTGCGATGTTTACGCCCCGTTGGAGATCGGTAGGCTGTCTCGTTCATCTCCGTAACTTTGAGCTGCGGTTTCGAGACCTGTAGCTCGTCCACAGCGCGCGCTGGAGCGAGCAGAAGATGAAGAGGGTTGCACACGGTGTAGCTCACCGGTGGCCGAGCCGATGGTGCGGTCCACTGGCTGTCCGACTGCCCGACATTTGCATCTCGTAAAACGCTTGCACACCTTCCTTCGTGGCGATATTCGTCGCTCTTGACGCGTCAAGTAGCCCTCTGTTTTTGTTTCGCGGATCTTTCTCGCGTTGGTTATCGTGCCGCTGGTTTACGGAATTATACTGGCAACGTCGACTCGCATAAAAACGATCTGTTTGAGTTGTCGTTGGTCGTTCTAGAATGTTGTTTATCGCAGCTTCGCAGACAGTTTAACCTATTAACGTTGTCATTCCCCTTTTGCATTTAAGATTGCGCGAAGCTAGCTTGATTCAGGATTCACGAAGATTTATAAGAAATTTCTCGAGTGTCAAGCGGTGGATTTTTCTTGGGATATTCTGGGATGTTAAAGGCGAAAATTATTCAAGGTAGTAAGGTACGAAGAGGTGAGCGAAAACGTTGAAGCTCGTGCCATTAGAATGAACTGGGGGAAAAAATAGCGTGGCAGCAAAATTTCATCATGTATTCCGCGTAATGGAGAGCGAACTCGATACTAGCTTATTAAATGTAATATTCGAGGCTATCGCAGCTTCTCGCAACGTGATATTAAGCGTGCCATGAGAACGCCGTGGAATGTAATAAAGAGCTAGTAATCTGAAAATATCACCCCATTTCCAACGGTGGGCATCGACGGCGAATTCTTCAGGGTAGACAGCAGTCTCGAGCAGACTGGGCAGAATGAAATAGCTAAGTAGCTAAAATTTAAATTAGTAAAAGTAAGAAAAATGTGTTGTATGATTCTCCTAAGATAGCCAAACGCTTCGTTATATAATTAGCAACTCGCCCGAATGAATTAACGAGATTCCCTCCCTATCCACTTTCTGGGGATAACCAATGTTAACGGAACGGAGGCGATCTCGGTCTCTCGTCAAATTTGTTCGGAAAACAGAGGGTGGAAAATTTTGCTCGATAGCAATACCCTCGGTTGGGAAAGTAAAACGAGTTCCATTGGCTGGGGCAAGAAGCGCTCGACGCAACTTGATTGCGGCGCGCGGTCAGGAGGCCCTCGCGATTAGCAATCCATTGCGCACATAATCATAATGAAATGTATCCACTCGATTCTTTCCCTCTTTTTATTCGTTGTTTTCGTTCCTCCCTTTCCGCCGCGACTTCTTCCGTCCTCGTTCGTCGCGCTGGTACCCGCGTTTGCTCTCTCCTCGTTCCTCAGCGGGCTTCGCTCGTGATCCCTGGAACCCTGTCGAGCTCGCCGTGGACCGACCAGTGGCCACGTACGCCAGCACGTAACTTCGTGTTTTCTTGCACGGCGGTAAAAATGTTAATTGACAATTGCGTGGCGCCACCGGCCACCGTCCCGTCCCGTCTTCACCCAGCCTACCCGACGCTCCCTGATCCTCCCCCTTGTGTGTACCTGGTGTCCAGACCGTAACGACCTTGCCTCGGTGCCTCGCGCACCGTTTAATTGTCGCGACGCGTCATACGCGATAGCCGTAAAATCGCCTGTCGCGTCGATATGACCGGACACCGTTTAAGCTTCGTTTGGAACTTTGAGAAACGACTCCAACACCTTGTCGCGTCCTCGATAAGGAACCTCGGGAGTGAAATTTGAAAAACCTTGGAGCAATCTCGACTTGTGGTACTGTAGATAGCATTAATAAATTAAAAAAAAGAAAAATAAAAAATAAAAAAAATAAAAAAATAATAATAATAATAATAACATAACACAAGCTGATTCCTACGTATCTATCGGCGACAAGGAACTCGTCTTTCACTCTCCGTTGTAAGGGTAAGCCAGAAACGATTCAATCGTCGCGTTGGACGTTGAAGAGCCGCCGGTGGATGTTTCGTCGACGCGTTTCCCTGTCTCGTTAGCAGGCTTCTCCTGCGGCACGATCACAGTTCGCCGGTCACGGGCCTTAGAAACTTTTCATTTTGCTCGCGGAGTTCCCGGGCATAATTGGTTTCGCGATCAGGAAGCGAATAGGGGGAGATGCCGATGGGTGGAGCGGGCGCAGGGAAAGGTTTGTCAGTTCGGCGGGCTCCGGCGGAATATACTTACGATCTGTAATTGGAATTGGTAGTGAACTGGGTGCCATTGGTTAGGTGGTTGTTAACCGCGCGATACGTGCGTGGCATAGACGTGCACACCGGTGTGTCTTCACGGGGGAGGGAAAAGGAGCGTCGAGAGGGGTCTATGAGGAATCTTACGCAGGCTCGGATTAAGATTCTCTGAGCTGCGACCATTGGGAGACTCTCTGTACTATTTTTAATAGGAAAAACATGTTAAGGGAACGTACGATTAATTTTTGCGAGGGCCAATTATCGCCAATTACAGATTAAAATACAGAATTTTAATTTACTAATTTGAATGCACGTAAGAGTTCGAATATCTTCTCAAATAAAAATCACAATAAATTGTTCTATCGTACTGTGTTATATTACGTTTAAACTAAGAATATTACGTACTATTTTTATGTAAATGCCCTCCATGTGAATATTCTATGCCATCCATACCCTGAAGGGTTGATTTCTGTAGCCACAGCTCTCGAGCCTCGATCCGAGTCTGATTCGTGCGG